AGACTGGGCCACGGCACCAGAGAGTCCCCCCTCCAGCACGAGCTAGTGCTGGGCAGCAACAGCAACAGTGGCCCAGCACTGGCAGAGGGACCCGGGTATGGAGGGGACGCCTCTGTGTCCCGGGCATCCAGGCTGCCGAGGGCCAAGGCTGGAGCAGGGAGGGGGAGAGAGCCATCTGGTCCCTAGGCTGACTTCTCTAAGCACAGAGAACAGGAGCTCACTGCTGCGGAAACGTGCATCTGTGCTGAGAGTGACAGCAGCAAAAGAACCCCCAGCATGACTCTGCCGACAGGAGTTCAGTCCCTCGCTCCGGCGCTGGCAGAAGAGGAGGGGCGCCCCGTTCTGTATGTTAGGAAACCCTCCTGCCGCGACCACTTTAAAAAGCCCCGTAGGCCAAATGGAAACATGTGAACACGCTCGTGAAGCTCCTGTTGAATCCGTCAACCTATTTTACGTTTCGACAAATACCAGAGTCTGCAGAGAAGCGTCTCAGCGCCTCCCCCAGCGGCATCGGGATGATCCCGTGGATGACTCGGGCAGTGCACGATGACAGCAGGGGCTCACGTTCTCACCCGGAGCCCCAGGCCCAGCGCAAACGCTGCTTCTCTCCGGCTCTGTTTGCAGGCGTCCGTCCTCACACTGCTGGAAGGACCTACCCGAGTGGGTAATTCCCGAAGAAAAGGGGGTTCACCGACTCACAGCTCCTCAGGCTGCGCTGGGAGCGTGGCTGAGCCCTCAGGAAGCTTACGGTCTCAGCAGAAGGCACAGGGGATGCAAGCACCTCTCGCCACGGTGGAGTGGGGGGGACACGCAGGAGGAGGTGCTGCTCACTTTCACACCACCGGATCTCGCGAGAACTCACTCACTACCACGGGAGCGGTGAGAGGGAAGTCCACCCCACCGTCCAGTACCTCCCGCCCGGCCTCTCCCATGGCACGTGGGGATGACAGTCGGACAGGAGACCTGGGTGGGGACACAGAGCCGTAACGCATCATTCTGCGCCGGCCCCTCCCAAATCTCAGGTCCTCCTCACGTGGTGAGACCAATCGTACCTTCCCAACAGTCCCCCAAAGGCTTAACTCCTTCCAGCACTAACTCAAAATTCCAATCCGAAGTCTCATCTCAGCCTAGGTGTCTCAGGCCTGATGGGCCTATTTGGATTTTGGAGGCAACACATTGCTCCCTTGGGTGTGTTACTCCGGCCTATTTATCCAGTGACCCAAAAGGCTGCCAGCTTTGAGTGGGGTCCACGACAGAGGCTCTGCAGCAGGTCCGGGCTGCGGTGCCAGCTGCTTTGCCATTTGGGCACATGACCCAGCAGATCCAGTGGTGCCTGAGGTGCCTGCGGCAGACAGGGATGCTGTGTGGAGCCTTCGGCGGCCCCCAGAGGTGAATCACAGTGGAGGCCCCCAGGATTCTGGAGCAAGGCCCCGGCGTCTTCTGCAGATGACTACTCTCTTTCCGAGAGGCAGCTCTTGGCCTGTTACTGGGCTTTGGTGGAAACAGAGCATCTGACTCTGAGTCATCAAGTCACTGTGCGACCTGAACTACCTGCCATGAAGTGGCTGCTTTCTGACCACGCAGCCACAGAGTGGGTTGTGCCCAGCAGCGTTCCACCATCACAGGGAAGTGGTTTACAGGTGATCGGGCTTGAGCAGGTCCTGAAGGTACAAGTCAGTTACATGAGGAAGTGGCTCAGACACCCGTGGTCTCCACTCCTGCCACCTGCCTTCTCTCCCCCAGCCTGCACCGATGGCCTCATGGGGCGTTCCCTATGATCAGTTGACAGAGGAAGAGAGACGAGGGCCTGGTTCACAGATGGGTCTGCACGACAGGCAGGCACTGCCTGAAAGTGGACAGCTGCGGCATCACAGCCCCTTTCCAGGACATCCCTGAAGGGCAGTGGTGAAGGGAAATCTTCCCAGTGGGCTGAACGTTGAGCAGGGCACCTGGTTGTGCACGTTACATGGAAGGAGAAGTGGCCAGGTGTGTGATCACGCACTGATGCATGGGCTGGAGCCAATGGTTTGGCTGGATGGTCAGGGACTTGGAAGAAGTATGATTGGAAAAATTGGTAACAAAGACATATGGGGAAGGGGTGTGTGGATAGATCTCTCTGAGTGGTCAAAAACTATGAGCCTGGGTGTTAATCACAATCCGGTAATGCCTCCTCATGATCTAAACTGTATGATAAAGAGAAGTGCTCATGGATGAGGTTTAGACACATGAGGGGTACTCTGGTCTGGGGGCTGGACTTTCTGTAAAGGGCCAGATGTAAATATTTAAGGCTTTGAGGGCCACACACTTGCTCCATCTCACCTGTTCCACTTTGCTGTTCTAGAAGGAAAGTAGCCATAGATCGTACATAAATGAATGAGCGTGGCTGTGCTCCAATAAAACTTTATCTACGAAAACAAGCAAGGGGCCAGATTTGGCCCAGGGGCCATAATTCGCCACTCCTGTGCTAGGAAATTAAAACAGTTGCTTCGGAGGAGTAGAATTCTGGGATGGACATGAGACTGTATTTCTCACTGTCGTTTTTGTAAAAACGTTCGTTTTATGAAAGAAGGTTTATCTATAACTTTAAAAATAAATAACTAAAACAAAAAATCTAAGATAACGGTCAAAAAGGTGGAAATAAAAATCTTCTAAGTTAGTGGAGGGAAAGTAGAGGAAATAATGACAGGCCGATCCCAAACAAGGCGAGAAAAGAGGTGCACAAAGAACACAGCCGACATTTCAGTCGGCTGCCAAAGCCTCCGACCAAAAGAAGACACACCCCAAATCCAGCCACACGCTATTGCAAGAACCACATCTAACGCTAAGGACACGAAACGTTTCAAAGAAAAAGAATGGGGAAAATAGACAAAGCAAATGCTGATGAGCAGCCAGTAGGCACGTCAGACTCAACAGAATTTAAGGCAAAAAGCCTTGTTAAAACAGAAATGTCGACTACACGATGCCATGCGGTGAAAGGCATATTAACTTCGTATGTGCACTAAATAGAATATTTATGACATTGATGAAGCTAATTTTATAATTCATACCTGAATTTGCATTCACATAGTAATATAGCCTTACATAGGTAAATTAGGTAAGATTTGATATAACTACCAGAATGGGTAATTCTTTAGTGCAAGATTTTAACATGTACATGTCAATACATTATTTCAAGAAATCATTCTCTTGATCGTTCAAAGTCTTTCATTCTTTTGAGATCAAGAGATGGAATAAAAGGCAAATAAATATATAGAAGACTTGATTGATCTAGTGGATGTGCGCAAGCACTGTCACCGGCATTTAGTGACGGAGCCTGTTCCGCAGCACAGAAGGGTTATTTATAAAATTGATCAAGTGTTAGCCCCAAAGCAAGCCCAGCAAATATCAAAGAACCACATAAATAATGGCGCAGACCATGGTTTCTGACAACACAATTAAGTTAGGAATCAATAATTTTAAAAAGGTAACTAAAAACTCATGTCTGGAGATTAAAAAATTTCTAAACGACTCACAAGTCAACGAAAAAGTCTTAATGGAAATGAGAAAATATGTAGAAATAAATGATAATAACCGCTTAGAAAACCTTCCGCAAAGAATCCTAGACTGAGGCCGAGGTCAGCGGTGGGGTCACTCCTGGTGGGGGGCACAGGGGTCTTGACGGGGAACAGAGGGCTCTGCCGCCCTGGAGGGAGGAGGTCAGGGGCCGGTTTCAGCTTTGGAGTGGGCGGAGGCAGACTTTGCTGAGCTCCATGGCACCAAGGGGCACTCCCGGGCACTCCCAGCTGGGCAGGGAGGGTCTCTCCAGGAGGGGTGGGCTCAGGCCTCTAGGCAAGGCCCAGAAGGAGAGAGGGCCCCCCTCCCAGCCCACAGCTGGGGGTGTGTGTGATGGGGGTCAGCTCTGTTTCATGAAAGCTGGAAAGCAGGTGTTTTGAGCCCAGCAGGCTCTGAACGGGGCTTCCCTGGGTTCTGGGCTCCTCAGGGTGAGGGAGCCTTTCCCTCCCGCACTGCCCACGCCCATGGAGGTATCGGGGCCCCTCTCTGCCAGGCGGAGACCCTGGAGGGCCAGGGACGGCGGCCTGGGAGCAGCCACACTGCACATGGGCCCCGCCAGGCAGCCCCGGGCAGGGACCCCTCCGCACCCACCGCAGCACCCACTTCTGCTCCAGAGGCAGCCTCCCGGGGATGGATGGGCGGTCCCAGGCCGTGCGGAGGGCTCCAGACGTGAGGGGCGTTCTAGTCACACAGGCTGGGCGCCCCGTTGTGGGATCTGGGGTGCGCAGTCCCCGGTGAGCTCTGAGTCTCCCGCCTGCCCGGGCCCCCTGCACCTGCCCCGAGGGTGAGCGTTGCTCCAGATGCGGGCGCTGCCCAGGCTCCGAGGGACTAGGGCTGGGCCTGCGGAGGGGCTGGCCGGGGCGGCTGGAAGGTGGCCAGGTCTGCGGGTGCCTGGGAGCCCCTCACCCGAGAAGGGGGAGCGAGGGAGGGGTGGGGGGGCTGTAGTTCCTGGGACAGCCGAGGCCCCTCGTGCAGCCCTGGCCACGCCTCTGTCCCCGTGTGACCCCAGCCCGGCCCCTCCCCGGACCTGACCCGGCCTCGAGCGGGGCGGGGGCGGGAGGCCCCTCGGATCTCTCCGCAGGTTGGCAGCGGGGAGGAGGCGCCAGGTGCGTCTGGCGGCGGGAGGGACACGAGGCTGCGCGGCCAGGCGGGGAGGGGGGGCGGAGGGGCGGGGACGGTCTGCGCCCTCCCGGGAGTTCCGCGAGGCGGAGGCGGGTGCGGAGCGGCAGAAGCAGAGCGCGCCAGACCGAGCCGGGGCGGAGCGTTCTGGAGGGGGCTGCGGGCTCCCCGCAGGTCAGTGCCCCTCCCGCCGCCTCTGAGTCGCAGCTCGGCCCGGGAGCCGCTGGGTGCCCCGCGCAGACCCTCCTGCCCCACCTGAACCCGGCAGCAGGTGCAGCGGGGGAGCGCGAAGAGCGGGCGGGGGCGCGCGGGGGCGGCACCGCACTCACCTCTGCGGTCTGCGTAGAGGACGCCCAAGGCCACCAGGGCAGCGGTCACCAGCAGCAGCAGCAGCCCCCCCTCCAGGAAGCCCGGGCGCTTCTGTCGTGCGCGGCCCGCGCTCTCCGCCATCCCCACGGGGCTCTGGACGGGAGAGCAGGGAGGGCGGAGGAGCCTGCGGCCCAGGCCAGGGGACAGGGCCAAGGCGGGAAGGGCCAGACGCTGGCTGGGAGTAGGCGCTGGGTGCCTTTGCAGCGCTCTGTTCCCGTCTCCCTCTCCAAGCCCACAACCCCGACCCTGGGCGCTGGGCCCCGGGACTTTCCACACCGCCCCTGGGCCGGAGTCTCTGAGTGCATGGAGATTCTGGGACTGAGATGCTCCCAGCTTGGGGTCTCCAGCTGGACCCAGGAGGCTCAGCTCCTGAGCAGTCAAGGGACCCCCCTGCAGTGCAGCCGGCCTGGACTCTTCGTGCTGGGGGTCCTGGAGCTGCCGGCCTGGATGCTGGGTCAGGGGCGCTGTCAGGGAGGCCACTCGGGCTTCTAGGCTCCCAGCCCACCCGTCCTGCTGGAGCCCAGCAGCCAGTGAGGGGCGAGACTAGAAGACTCGGTGCCCACACAGGCAGTGACTCCGTGGGCCGGGAAGGGACCTGCAGGGCCAGGCAGCCTTGAGGCTCAGCCCTGGCAGCCACTTGGCTGGGATGCAGCTCTCAACATCCCCTGACCTGTGACTATGGAGGGGTTCCCTCCTGGAGCTAGCTGAGCGGCGGGCAGCACCGGAAGACACACAAGGCTGGGGACAGGGGACTGCTGTAGGCAGGACAGGGAGCCGGGCAGGCAGGGCTGGGGGCACAGGACAAGGACTCAGAAGGCTCCGAAGGCTGCGTGCTCCGATGAGCATGTGAGTGTGAACCGGAGTATGCACCTGTGTGCAAATGAGTGTGTGCACGTGGTGGGGCATGTGCATGTGTATGACTGTGTGTTCATATGTTCTGGTTTGTGATTGTGTGCACACACATGTGTATGTGTTCTGGTGTGTGCATGTGTGTGACTGTACATGAGTGTGCACATGTGCATGTGTGACTGTGTGTGTGTGTGCGTGTGCATGTGCTCTGGTATGTGCCTGTGTATGTGTGCCTGTGTGTGCATGTGTGTGACTGTGTGGGTGTGCACGTGTGTGTGTGCTCTGGTGTGTGCCTGTGTGTGAGTGTGCACGTGTGCATGTGTGTGACTGTGGGTGTGCATGTGTGTGCGTGTTCTCTGGTGTGTGCCTGTGTGCCTGTGTGTGACTGGGTGTGCGTGTGTGTCCTCTCATATGTATGATTGTGTGTGGGTGTGCACGTGTGTGCATGTGCTCTGGTGTGTGCACATATGTGAGCACATGCATGCGCGTGCACATCCTTGCTGGCACTCAGAGCCCTGCCAGGAAGCTGTCTGGCGCTGGGGAAGCCGCTGGGTGCTTTGGGCTGTAGCACCTTCAGTTGTCACACGCAGCCACCTGCTGTGCTGAGCCCCAGGCGGAGCCCTGTACCAGGCAGTGTGGATAATTTGGGAGCAGCAAAAGGAAGCCAGGCACAGTCCTGCCTGCGGGCGGGTCAGGGGAAGGCTGCTGAGACTGCCCGCTCCCAGGCTAAATGTGCTTCTGCCTCACCCCCGCCCCCTCAGTGGCCTTGCCTGGGTTCTAGATGCCCCTTAACCTCTCTGGGCATCACCCTGCAGAGGTGGCACGAGCAGCTCATTTCGGTGACTCCTCCAGGGCTCCCTGACCTCTGGGTGTGTGAGGAGTGGGGACGGGGACCTGGGCCTCACTCCTCTCTTGTTCCCTCTCTGCTCCCGTCCTGTCCCCTTGGCCACCTCTCTCAGTCCCTGGCCTTGCGAACAGTGGCATTCATGTGTCAGCACACTCTCAGATGCTTCCTTTGATGGCCTGTGCTGTGCCCCTTGACAATCCCGTCCTGCCAGTGGCTGAAGGTGAACTTGGGAGTTACCTGCACCCCTTGCCTGCCTCCACACCCGGCTCTGGTCCTCAGGCTCCAAGTCCATCCCACTTGGACCCCTTTCTCCCGCCTGTTCCAGGCCCCTCACTACCCCCTGAGGGGTCTGTCTCCCCCACTGGTCCCTGGATTCCTGCCAAGGTCCCCTTCCCAGTGGGGCTCTCCCTGGCCCGGCCTGGGTTCAACTCAGGGAGCCTCAGCCCCTCCCCTGCTCTGTCTCTCTAGGGACTCCTGGCTCCGCCTCCACGTTTCCTCTCTACTTCTGTTGCCCCCTGGGAATATCAGCTCCATGGGGGCGGGGGCTCCCTCTGTGGGGCTGCCTCACCTAGGCTGGCACCCCCACCCCAGAGACCTCAGTCAGCCTCTGTCGGGTGTCTGAATGAATGAATGAATGATCAATGAGTGAATCAATCATTTGGACAAGTCCGAGCTGGGCTTCCACGCACTTCTTACTTTGATAGGAATTAACGAATCTGCTATGCATTCTGAGTTCATTGTGTCCTGCAGGCACCCACCAGCGTCTCCATGTGCCCCAAAGGCACACACAAAATAAACACCTTCAAATTGAGCCGAAGGCCCCAGGGCAGGTGTGGAGTGTCCGCTGAGGTGAAGACCCTGCGGCTGCCTGGGGACACTCGTGGCCTCTCCACGTTACTAAGGATGGGGGACGGCAGGTCCTTTGGGTAAGGGGAACCATATGCCAGAGGGGACTGCCTGTCTGGCACCTGCAGGATATCCCCCTGGCCTCGTGAGAGGGGCTGGTGCTTGGAGAGGGTTTCAAGGCCCAGGACAGCGGGCCGGGCCCTCCTTCCACAGCTCACCTTTGCTCACTCAGGAGTGCCGCTGCCTACAGGCAGGTCCCTGGAGACTGGGTCCCGGTGGCTTGGAGTTGGGGTGAGCTGGGCCAATCGGGTGGATTTCCAGGGACCAGGATGGGAGGGCAGTGGCTTGGGGCTGGGTTGAGGCTGCCTGCAGGTTTCCAGGCCTCCTTTGTGATGTAGGCATGGGTTTCCTGGAGGCATGACTCCTCACAATCAGGTTCCGCTGCGGCTGTGGGGGGGGGAGGGGCAGAGGGCAGCTTCCTGGCACTGGGCTGCCCTGCCGCATGGGTGCCCTACTCAGGGCTTCTGGGCCCTGCCTCCCAAGCCTCCCTCCTCCCTTGCTTTTGTCTTTTGATCTGTCAGTCCAAAGGGGCCCCCGGGGCTGCTGGGAGGAAGGCAAGGCCCTTCTCCCCCTCCACACCGTCTGCTCTGCCCCGACCACCCAGTGAGGGGCTTGCAAAGGCCCCACCCTCGGTGTTCTTTCCCTTCAATATCCAAGGAGGATTTTGGGTTCTGGGGGCCTTGCCTGGAAGCCTGCCCCCAGGGAAGGGAAAGGGGTGGTCCTGATGGGGTGGGCGCCGGCTGCCAGGGCATTTCCCACGCAGAGATACTAGCCTGGGCTTAGCTGCCTCCCTCTGTGTATGGAAAATTCGTGAGGTTCAGACCTCAAGCTACAGAGGGCGGGCGCCCTGGCCGAGGAGCTGACAGAAGGGCTTTGTGGCCTGGGAGGGGTCCCCAGTGATCAGAGCGTGAGCCCCCACCCAGCCCTGCTTACAGATGGGGCTTCCATGCAGAGCAGGCCCTTTCTGATTCTCCAGGCCTGATGAGGTTCCCAGCTTCTGTTTCAGGATCTCCAGAACGAGTCCTCCTGCCCAGGCCCTGGTATGTGTCAGGGTATCTGGGCGGGGCTGGGCCACAGAGCCAGGGGTCCCATGGCAAACTCCCCATGCGGCCTTCCCGGCTGCATCTCCCACGCTGGTGCTGCTGGAAGCTTTGTCCCTAGCCCTTTAGTCTGGCCAGGCCTAGGGGGAGAAAGGCTTCGAGCTGCAGTCAGGCTGGGATCCCATCCCAGACACTATGCCCCAGCCCGGGAAGCTGCTCCCTGGGGCCCGCTGGCTCTCCTGGCAGCCCCTGACCTTAAGCCCAGAAACCCGCCCAGGAGCTGCAGTCTAGCCTGGAGGCTCCCTGGGCTGCTGGCCCACATGGAAACATAGTCAAGGGGAGCCAAGCAAGCAGCTGGGGCTGCCCTTTCTGGGGAGCCGGGAGTGGGCCAGGGTGCAACCTGGATGGAGGCTCCTGCCCTGGGGAGAGGCCAGAGACCTTCCCAGCCCACCTGCCTGACAGCCCTGGTGCCAGCAGGCCCTTTCTGGATGTCACAGTGTCACTTGTCTCCAAGGTACAAAGCCACAGAGGGAGAAACAGACTCGGAGTCTGGCCTACTCTCAGGAGGGGCTCCCTGGACTCTGGACCCCGCAAGGCCGGCCCTGCACATGCTCCTCCTTCCCGAACCCCAGGCTTGTCCCAGCCCAGCAGCCCCCACCTTGACCCAAGGCCACCTGGTGACCTGGGCTGCCAAACTTAGGATCCCTTATTCCCAGGTTCTCCCTGCTTCTAGGTGAGAGCAGGAGGCTCGGGTCCTGGCCTGGCACCTGCCAGCCAAGAGAGATGGGGAAAGGAGGGGACAGGCCAAGGGGCTGCAGGGCCTGAGACCTAGCCCAGTCACACGACACTCGCAGACTGGCCGGTGCCACAGCAGTGCAAACCCAGCCCCCCAAAACCTGCACAGACGGCTGTCCCCCCAAACACCCTCACAGATGGCTGTCCCCCAAAACCCATACAGATGGCTGTCCCCCAAAACCTGTACAGACGGCTGTTCCCCAAACACCCACACAGACAATTGTCCCCCAAACACCCACACAGACGGCTGTCCCCCAAAACCCGTACAGACGGCTGTCCCCCAAAACCCGCAGACAGCTGTCCCCCAAAACCCATAGACAGCTGTCCCCCAAACACCCGTACAGACGGCTGTCCCCCAAACACCCGTACAGACGGCTGTCCCCCAAACACCCGCACAGACGGCTGTCCCCCAAAACCCGTACAGACAGTTGTTCCCCCAGACACCCACACAGACCATACCCCCAGACACCCACACAGAGATACCTGCCAGACCATCTCCTCAAACACCTGCACAGACTGTCCCCCTAGACACTGGCACTGACCATGCCCCACAAACACCCACATCGTCCCCCCAGACACTCGAATAGCCAGAGCTCAGCACGTCAGAGGTGGACATTAATCCTGTCTCTAAGGGGGTTGGGGGAAAGTGGGCGTTCCCTGCCCGTCTTGCTCTCGGCATAGCTGTGAAATGTGGAGATCTGGGGAGCAGCCCCAGCTCAGGGGTTTAGGGAAGCAGGTGGGAGGGGGGTTGTCGAAGTTCTTCCTGTAGCAGCCCTGGGGCCAGGGTGTGCCTTGAGGCCACTAGCCTTTGTCCACACTGCTGCGGGGGCTGCCTTCATCCACCCTGATGCATCCACCCTGCTGTGGGGGCTGCCTTCGTCCACCCTGATGCATCCACCCTGCTGTGGGGGCTGCCCTCAGGCCCTGCAGACACCTGCCTGTGACTGCCCCACACTCTTGGGCTGGGCTACTGGTGGCAGGGCCTGTGCTCTGCTGCAGCCCAGCCATGCCCAGTGGGAGCAGAGCCTCTCCCCCAGGTTTGCCCAGCTACACTCGGGAGGCATGAGGTGCCCCACTTAGAGAAGATG